CTCAGCTGTGTCTGGTCTACTGATGAGCCTATCAAAGGTATTCTTCAATTATGTTACAATTACTTTCTACATTTTCTAGTGTTTTCTCTTTTTAATTTTTTTATTTTATTTTAGATTTAGGAGGCACAAGTATGTTTGTTACATGCATTTGTTGCATAATGGTGAGTTTGGGGCTTCTAGTATACCCATCACCCAAATAATGAACATTGTACCGAATAGATAATTTTTCAAACTTCACTCCCCTCGAGACTTCTCGCTTTTTAGAGTCCCTATTGTCATTTATTTTTATCTTTATTTCTATGTGTACCTATTGTTTAGCTCCCACTTATAGGTGAGAACATGTGATATTTGATTTTCTGTTCCTGAGTTATATATTCTAGGATAGTGGACTCCAGCTCCATCCATGCTGCTGCAAAATACATTATTTTATTCTTTTTATGGCTGTATAGTATTCCATGGTGTATATATAGTACATTTTCTTTATCCAATGGAGACAGGTCAGTTCCATAACACTGCTAATTTGAATAGTGCTGTAATAAACATATGAGTCCAGGTGCTTTTTTATGTGTGATTTTTTTTTTCTTTGGGGTTCCTGAGTCGAATGGTAGCTCGAGTTTTAGTTCTTTGATAAATTTGCATACCTTTTTCCATAGAAATTAAACAATTTAGGTTCTCACCAACAGTGTATAAACAGTTTATTTTCTCTGTATCCACGCCAATGTCTATTTTTTTTGACTTAATAATAGCCATTCTGATGGATGTGAGATGGTATCTCATTGTGGTTTTAATTTGCATTTCTCTGATGATGAATGATGTTGAACATTTTTTCATTTGTTTTTTGGCTTTTTGTATGTCTTCTTTTGAGAAATGACTTTTTGCCTTTATCCACTTTTTAATGAGGTTGTTTTTTTATCTTGCTGAACTGTTTGAGCTCCTTATAGATTCTAGGTATTAGTCCTTTGTTCAAGACATAATTTACAAATATTTTCTCCCATTCTATTCATTGTCTGCCTACTCTGGTGATTATGTTTTTGGTGTGCAGAAGCTTCTTAGTTTAAGTTCTATTTGCGTGTTTTTGTTTTGTTGCATTAACTTTTGAGGTCTTAGTCACCAATCATTTGCCTAGGTCAATGTCCAGAAGTATTTTTTTCTAAGTTTTTGTCTAGACTTTTTATATTATCAGGTCTTATGTTTAAATATTTAATCCATCTTGAATTAATTTTTCTATATGGTGAGAGATAGGAGTCCAGTTTCATTCTTCTGCATATGGCTAGCCAATTGTCACAGCACCATTTGTTGAATAGGGAGTCCTTTCCGCATTGCTTATTTTTGTTGACTTTGCTGAAGATCCGTTGGTTGTAGGAATGTGGTTTTATTTCTGGGTTTTCTACTCTGTTCCATTGATCTATGTGTCTACTTTTGTCGAAGTACCATAATGTTTTAGTTACTATAGTCTTGTAAAATAATTTGAAGTCAGGTAATGTGATGTCCCCAGATTGGTTATTTTTGCTTATGATTACTTTGGCTATTCCATGTTCTTTTTTAACTACATGTGAGTTTTAAGATTGTTTCTTCTAATTCTTTGAAAAATGATGTTAGTACTTAATAGGAATTGCATTGAATCCATAAATTGCTTTGGACAATATGGACATTTTAATTATATTGATTCTTTTAGTTTTCCTCGTAGAGATCATTCACCTCATTGGGTAAACGTGCTCCTAGATATATTTCTGTGTCTATTGTAAATGGGATTGAGTTCCCAATTGGATTCTCAGCTTTACTGTTATTGGTATTTAGAAATGCTACTTATTTTGTACACTGATTTTATATCCTGAAGGTTTACTGAAGTTGTTTATCAAGTCTAGGAGTCTTTTGGAGTGGTTTTATGGTTTTTGTAGGTATACAATCATGCCATCAGCAAACAAAGATAATTTGACTTCCTCTTTTCCAATTTGGATGCCATATATTTCTTTCTGTTGCCTGATTACTCTGGATTTTCACTCCTAGGATTGTCACTTCTATGTTGAATAAGAGTGGTAAGAGTGTACCTGCTTGTCCTGTTTTAGCTCATACAGGGAATGCTTTCAACTTTGTCCTAGGTGGCTCTTATCATTTAGAGGTATATTCCTTCGATGTCTAGTTTGTTGAGGTTTTTTATCATGAAGGGGTGTTGCATTTTATCAGTTTTTTTCCACATCTATTGAGATAATCATATGGTTTCTGTTTTCAGTTATATTAACATGTTGAATCATATTTATAGATTTGTGTATGTTGAACCATTTTTGCACACCTGGGTTAAAACCCACTGCATAGTGATCAGTTATCTTTTTGATATGCTGTTGGATGGGATTTGTTGGTATTGCATTGAGGATTTTTCCATCTATATGCATCAGGGATATTGGCCTGTAGTTTTCTTTTTTTGTTGTGTTCTTGTTTGATTTTGGTAGCAGGGTGATACTAGTTTCGTAAAATGCTTTAAGGAGGAATCCCTCATCTTCAGTTTTTTGGAATAATTTCAGTAATATTGCTACCAACTCTTCTTTGTATGTCTGGTAAAATTTAACTAAGAATCTTTCTGGTCCTGGGCTCTTTTTTGTTGTTGTTGCTGTTGTTGTTGTTGTTGTTGTTCTTAGAAGATTTATTATTACTGATTTCATTTTATTACTCATTATTGGTCTGTTGAGGATTTTTATTTCTTCCTGGTTCAATCATGGGAGGTTGTATGTTTCCAGGAATTTTTCCAGTTCCTCTAAGTTTTCTAGCTCGGGAGCATAAAGATATTCATAGCAGTCTCTAATAATCTTTTGTATTTCTGTGATATCAGTTATAAGGTCACCTTTATCATCTCTGATTGTGTTTATTTGAATCTTCCCTCTTATTTTCTTGGTTAATCTACCTAGAAGTCTACCAATTTTGTTTACTTTTTGAAGGGTCTCAATCTTATTTAGTTGTCTCATTTTGTTATTTCTTTTCTTCTGCTAGTTTTGTGTTTGGTTTGTTCTTATTTTTCTAGTTCCTTTATGTGTGATGTTAGGTTTTTAATTTGATATTTCTTATCTTTTTGATGCAGGCATTTAATGCTATAAATTTTCCTCCTTGCATTGCTTTCACAGAGGTTTGGGTATGTTGTATCTCCATTTTCATTCATCTTAGGTAATGTTATTGTTTACCTAAAAGTTATTCCAGAGAAAGTTGTTTAGTTTCCATGTATTTGTATAATTCTAAGAGTTTCTCTTGGTTTTGATTTCTGATTGCATTCCACTGTGGTCTAAAAAGATACTTGATATAATTTCAGTTTTTTTTCTCATTTGTTGAGACTTGCTTTATGGTCAATTCTGGAGGATGTTCTATGCACAAATAAAAATATATATATTTACAGTTGTTGGTAGCATGTTCTATAAATGTCTATTAGGTCCATTTGGTCTAGTCCCGTTTAAGTCCAGAGTTTCTTTGTTTATTTTCTGACTCAATGATCTGCCTAGTGTTGTAAGTGGAGTCCTTCTCTTCAAACATTGTTTAACTTTTCTTGAATGTTCTTTACCATAGTTATATAAATTTTCTTGCCTTACAATTCCAACGCTTGTGTTCTATGAGTCTGGTTCTGATGCTTACATGGTTTCTTCAGATTATGGGGTTTTCTTCCATTTATCATGCTTTACAATTTGACACATTGGGTAATAAGAACTGAGGTAAATAGGCCTTTAATGTGAAGATTTACATTCATCTGGCTGGGAGCTGGGCTTTGTTTAATGTTTGCTGTTGTTCTGGTGCCAGAGGCTGCAGCTATTATCCTTGATTTTGTCTCTCCTCTTGCTTTGGGCTCCTCTAAAACCCCTTCCTTAGGGAGACTGTGTGTCTTCCAACTCTTTCAACTGTAATTCCTTGTTATTATTCATTCAAATGTTATGTTGGTAGGGTGGTCAGGTGTGCTGTGGGGGAAGCATTCTGTAGTCTTATGATTAAATCTCAATCTGTCTGCATCTCTGGACTGTGACCTTCACAAGTGTTTTTCCAGTGATATACCTTGTTTTCCCAACTGACATGAGACCGACAGCTAGAAACGGTAACAGTAGGAGGAAAGTCCTTCTCTCTGGGATAAGACTTAGGTAAAGTTTTTTTCTCCCAGAGAATAGGTCTGCTTTATACAGAACATTCTGGGAGTATTTCATAATGATTTCTCTTCCCCTTCCCCTGCCAAAACTGTAACAGGAATTTTTTTGGATTATCATCATGAGAAGCTGACAAAATTTCTCGAAGTAAACCTAGGACAGTTTGGGAGTTTCCTCAGACTGTAGCCCCCAGGAGTTTCTCACTCCCAAGTTAGTCTACTCTTGGCCTCCAGCAATTCATTAGAAATGCCATTTCAGTGTTCCTCCCAGCTTGTGGATCTAGCTGCCTCTGCTCTGTGTAAATAGATCTCAGCTGTGACTCTCTAGACTTACTGCTTTCTCTGATTTTCAAAGTAGCAATTTGCCCTGCAAATCCAGTTCTCTACTAAGGCCAAGAAAAGCCATTGATTTTCCTTTGTTCAATTTTTTCTTGTTTTAAGTATGGAAGTGTTGGGACTGAAACTGGAAGTCTCCATTCAATGTTTTAGAGAAAATTTCAACACTAATTTGACCAACATAGTTTTGTTTTGTTTTTGAGACAGACTCTTAGCTCTGTCACCCAGGCTGGAGTACAATGGCATGATCTTGGTGCTCTGCAACCTCCGCCTCCTTGGTTTAAGTGATTCGCCTGCCTTAGCCTCCTGAGTAGTTGGGATTACAAGCATGCGCCACCATGCCTGGCTAATTTTTGTATTTTTAGTAGAGATGGGGTTCTGCCATGTTAGCCAGGCTGGTCTCGAACTTCTGACCTCAGGTGATCCACCTGCCTCAGCCTCCCAAAGTGCTGGGATTACAGGCATGAGCCACCGCGCCTGGCCTGACCAACATCTTCTTAACCTGTATTCCATGGATCATCTGATCCTGCAAGGAAATCTGTACAGTATACATATGTGTATTTCTCATAGGTGTCCAGGACTTTTATTAGATTCTCAAAGTAGCTGATGAATGACTTTAAAAAACTGAGAACAATGCAATACAAAATAATCCTTTTGTTCTGTACATAAAAATACAGCTCAAGTCCCCAAGACAGGAGTAACAAGTAGACATAAGGCACATCACTTATGCTTTCACTTGGATATCTTCGACTAATGAATGTAAATTCTAAAATAAAAGTCTGTATCTACCCTACATGTTTAGTTTGTGAAAAGTTACCTTTTCATTAAATAATTTTAACAATACAATTTGCAATTTTAAGTAAATTTATCCAAACAGAGGCAAAATATGTTTTTTTTAAGATATGGCATTTGAAAAGCAAATGTATGTAGATGTAGGACTAATGCATGACCTAAGACAAAGAACGATGATTTTTAAAGAACTTTTCTAAGAGACAAAGACTTAGCTGCTTCTGTTCATATAATAGAGGAAGCTAACAATTAATTTCAGATTCAAAGCTGGAAGTATCCCTCATGCTATATGCTATACGAATACTATTAGCAATAAAGCATCAAGATAAAAGATTACTTTTAATTTTGTACCACTGTGTAAATCATTGTACTTATTTTCCAGGCTGATTAGATAGCATTGTGAGAGAAGGTGAAAAAGCAGCTTACATGTGAACATTAAATTAACGTAACTTTTTTGTAAAAAGAACATTATGGTGGTAATATTACATCCCTAACTGTGCTCTGTCATCTCTTGCAGATAAAAAGGAAAAGAAGTCCCACTGTTTACAGGGAGAAGATCCTGTGGATAGTCCATCACTATTTTGCTTTTGCTCAGTATTTTACATTATCATCAGACTTCCTAACAGTAGTTTCTGAAAGATGAAAGTGGACTCTCACTGAGAATTTCACACAAATAGATTAATTTGCGCCGCCATTTTTGGCACGTTGCCATGGATACAGCCATCGGAAGGCCTCAGTGCAGCTGCGAGTTGATTGACGGTCCATTCACAGTGTAAGGCTTTACAAAACCAGTCACATGAAAGGACACTCATTAGTGGACAAAGGCCTTGTATACACATTTTGGTGATGCTTCCAAGGCTGAACATTACCTCTCAGTAAATCTGACCTTCATATCAATATCACCAGTGAAAGTTGGAACTATACCATGAAAAATATATATTCAAAAATACTGTAGAGTTAACATATTTATTCAATACATGGCTTTATTTTTCTTTCATTCAAATCTAGCTAAAAGAAGGTGGAATAAAACACAAACCAAAAAGGTTTTCTGTTATAAATTCTATATTTTCTTTAAAAAAATCAAAAAGTTATTTCTCATTATGAACCTACAGACTGGTGTATGCTTAGATTAACAAAGGGAATAATTTCTGCTATTTACTGTGGAACAGAAAAAAATAAAAAGAACAGGCTTTTGACTTCTTTCTCCCTTCTGCATGGTATAGTCCATTGGGAAGTATAATGTTGACATTTTACATTGTCACACACCCAACTGTGTAAAGATATAACTTTATTCCTCTGTATTTAAACTTAGCCCGTGAGACTCTTGGTAATAAAATACCTTCCTCTTATTTATTCAAGGTAATTCTGTCAACTCTGGTAGAACACTCTGGGGTATCTACTCTACCAATTCAGGATGCATCCCACCTTGTATCTCTGATTTTCTTCTCCCTGGTTGTAATCTGAGTTTCTCAGGTGCCTTTCACATTGCTTTCTTATCAAAGTGGAGAAGACTGTCTTCTATGCTCATCGCTGCCCCACTGGCCCCTGCAAACCTATCTCTCTGGCCTTGAGCACTGGCCCGGTCTTGTTGCATCTTCTGCTGATAGTGATATCCCCACACAGTATCCAGCTGTTAGGTCCATGCTCCGCTGTGATCCTCTGCCTCCATGCCAGACCTCGCGTCTGTCTGCTCAGCCACTTTTCTTCACCTCTTAGAGTGTTCAGGAATGCCTGTGTACTTTTCCCCGAAACTCCAGGAGGCTAACCTCAGACTCTTCTGCATAGACATCTCAGCACCTGAGACACAGAGAAAGAAGGCTTTAGCTAAGTGGACACAGAGAAACTTTATCAAACTCCACTGAATCATGACTAGCTTTGACTCTTCATATTGTGTCTCACTCAATGAGTAAACTACATGTGAAGCTGATTTTGAGACTTTGATGTTCTTTAGCTATGAGTCTCTCTATACTTCTATCAAAGGGCCAGAAATAACAACTCTTTCAGAACTTTCATTGTTCAAGATTCCCGCTGTTTTCCTTGAATCCGAATCAAAAGACATCGTTTGGCACATAACCCATGTATAATAAAAGCTAATCAATCAACCTGACAGCATAAATGAAAATGAGACCCTACTGTCCTCTCCATTGCTGATAGATTCAGGAGGATTTACTATTCTGCCTTCTCTTTTTCAGTTAAGTTGGGCCAAAAAATTTAAAAAAAAAATCTAAATCAAAATTTTGGAACTGCTTACTTGGAAATATTTTAAGACAAGTCAAAACCAAAATTTTGGAACTGCTTACTTAGAAATATTTTATGTGAATTAAAATTTTAGCACCTAAATGAATCAGAACACCAATGAATTGCAGAATGAGGAAATACTTGCACACGTGTGTACAGGTGCATACTACATGGACGTGTTCTTTGTTAACACAATCTGGTTAATCTCTCCTAAAGCATTGGAACTGGGGAAAAATACTGTGCATTACATGTGGGAATAAGTTGTGCAGGGAAAATGTGCAGCTGGATGGGACAGTGTCATAAAAATATTATCACATAAAATCTTTACATTTTGTGTCTATTTTCCATGTCATTATTTGCAAATTATCCAAGCTAACAACTTGGGGGTACAGACAGACCCTGTGAAAGGACTGGGGGGACACAGCCTAGGAATGTAAGCCATGTAAGCTAGAAGGAAAGACAACTAATAAGGAAAAAAATAACTCTGAAGAGAAAGCCTCTCAAATGGCAAAATAAAGAAAGGTGCTTTGCCAAAAGAGAGCAATTACCAGGCAGTTCAGAGAAGTAGAGAACTTAATTTGGAATTGTTTTATTTGTATCTGTTGTAAAGGACTTTCTAGTTTCCTTTTGGATAATAAAGATAATATTAGATTGACTTGTTTCTATATTTGTATTTGAAATTTAATGGTAGCTAATTTTCAGATGATGCTTTGATCAGGAAGTAATAGAAGTGCCTTTGTATTCAGTTTTCTGTGAAGTCTCAACTCAAAACCTTCAAAAATGAAAAGTAGACAGAAAAAGATCTAAATTCTCAAGCCTTAAAAGTATTCAATGACAATAAGTAAAAGAAAGAATGAGCAAACATCCGTTTGGAAAAAAAGTCATTTCATGGACAAGCAGCATCGTTACAGATGGAGCGGTAGCGGCACAGGACGTTTCTTGGGTCTCATTTGGGCAAATATATGCAATTAGGAAGTGAACAAATAACCAAATCGTCCTTAGAAGAGGATTAAGCAGTCTTTCATCTTAGTAAACCCACAGTTGGAAAACATCTATCTGTGTCTTTTTAAAGTCTTGGTTCCTTTTTCTTTAGTTTTTTTCTTTTCTTTTCTTTTCTCTGGAGACAGCTCTCACTGTTCACTCCTGTCACCGAGCTGGAGTGCAGTGGCGCAATCATGGCGCACTACAGCCTCAGCCTCCCCAGGCTCAGGTGATCCTCGCACTTCAGCCTTTCAAGTACCTGGAACTACAGGCATGGGTCACTACACCCAGCTAATTTTTTTATTTTTTATAGATTCAGGGTTTCGCATATTGCCCAGACTGATCTTGAACTCCCGGGCTCAAGTGATTCTCCTGCCTTGGCCTCCCAAAATGTTAGGATTATAGGTGTAAACCACTGTGCCCAACAGTCTTAGTTCGTTTTTCTATTTAAGACATAGAAATACTTCAAGCAAAATAATAATCAAAAAAACCATAAAGTCCTGGGGGAAATGTTACACATTAAAGACAGAAATAAATTGATCTAGATTATTGCAAGCATGTGGGTATATAAATACTGATTTTACTTTTGGAAATCTCTGCTTCTTTTCACCTTCAGTAAAGCAAGATTTTAGTAACTATGTTTCTAAATCTATTTTTCCAAATGAAAGTTATGACATCTCTTTTTCTTTTTTTTTTTTTTTTTTTTTTTTGAGACGGAGTCTAGCTCTGTCACCCAGGCTGGAGTGCAGTGGCCAGATCTCAGCTCACTGCAAGCTCCGCCTCCCGGGTTCCCGCCATTCTCCTGGCTCAGCCTCCCGAGTAGCTGTGACTACAGGCGCCCGCCACCTCGCCCGGCTAGTTTTTTGTATTTTTTAGTAGAGACGGGGTTTCACCGTGTTAACCAGGATGGTCTCGATCTGCTGACCTTGTGATCCGCCCGTCTCGGCCTCCCAAAGTGCTAGGATTACAGGCTTGAGCCACCGCACCCGGCCGATATCTCTTTTTCTAAGACCCTGTGTGTCATTTATTAAGATAAAACTTACAGGTATCTGGTTGCAATCTCAATCTTGACTCTTCAGCATCATTAATTTATTCGGAATGAACATAACCATATTACTGGCTGTCAATACAATTTTAGAAAAAATTATAAAATGTTAGCCTGGGTAGATGGCAATACACTCATCATTTAACAGCACAGTCTATAAATGTGTGTCAATAATACAATACATTGTAAATTAGCTAACACAACTTTGTAGTAACCAATTTTTATGAAAATCTTTAAGTTAAAAAATAAAAAATACAGATATTAAAATGCCTTCAACCTTAAAAAGTTAACAACAACAAAATCTTCTCAGAAACGCCAAATTTATATTTCAGAGTACAATAATATATACACAACACATATAAGTGGAAGATTTGACATTGATTATTTAAATGTAATTATCTGTAAATAATTTGAATCTTCATCTTGGAGCTTATGTTTTATATATAATTCTATTATCTGCCACAATTTACTCTTAATTAAATAGTTGGCTTTATAACTTTGAATTACATAGTTAATTTTTTTCTATACCAGTTCTGTTTTACTTCTTATTAATACAGTAATTAAAAAACAAACCGGCAACTATATTTAGTCCAGGTATAGTAATATGAGCTAACTTCTCCTGAGTGGTTCCCCATGGACCAAGCACTTTGCTAGATGCTTTATATGCTTTATCTCATTTAAACCTCACAGCACAACTGTAACTAGGCACTGCTAAGTATCATTTTGCAAATATGCAAACTAAGGCAATAGGTTAAATGATTTTCCCAGTGTCACAAAGCTAATAAATGGCAGCATAAAGACATTAATCCAATTTTGATTATACTCACCCCTTTCAGACAATATTTTTCAATGTTTTTAGAACCTTCTTGTATTTTTTATTTTGTTAATATGGGTCTATTGCGTTTTGATGAAGCTTCCATAAATCTGATTTAGGCTAAAGTAAATATGAAAGTTGTTTTCTAGTCAATTAAGATCCAAAGGCAGCAAGGAGAATCTTTAAAGAGGTACCAAGTATTTAGGAGCTGAAATTACAAGAAACGTAAGTGTATAACTTGGGCTGAGAGTAAACTAAATGACAATGAAGGAAACAACAGCTTTAAGCTTCTCAGACAAGTTATGTACTGCCTCACGTTACTCGAATCCAGCAAAATGATTATAACAACCTTCACTGAGGGAACTCCATGACAGTTTGCTCTAAGAAAAAAGATACAAAAAACACAAACATAATGTCAGCCAATAGAAAGTAATAAACTATTTTTAATCCTAATAGCAAAAAAGGAGAATGTATTCCAGGAATAAAAAGATAATTCAATACGCTAACCTAATTTTGAAAATATTAACAAAATCACAAGAAAAAACTCTAGAGAATCATCTTCACAGATTTCACAAAATAAGCCACTGAGAAAATGTAATATTTTCTCACAAAAACTATTAGTAAACAAATTTTAAAAATTTCTGAACATGATTTTTAAAATCTATCTCAAAGCAACAGAACTATTTTTCTTAAAAATGGAATCCTACAAATGATGCCATTGAAGTATTAAAAGACAAGGACCATCGCTGTAATCACCTTTGCCTTAAATTACTCAAAATATGCTGGCCAATGCAGAATCAGGAAAAATAAAAGTCACATAAATATTTGAAAGAAGGTGATAAAAAGTATCATCCTGTGCGTATTATATTATGTGCTGCCAGGAAAACTCCAGAGAACCCATTGAAAAACTTTCATAATTAACTAAAGAGATTAGCGACCAACCAAAAATTGCATAGAAGTGAATATTTTTATGCTAATTTATTTTAAAATGGTTCTGAAAATATAATGACAAATAGTCCTAATAAAAGTAGTCCCTTAGTTCAATCAAGCTGGTATAACAACATGCCTTAGACTGAGTAATATACAAACAACAGCAATATATTGTTCACAGTTCTGCTGGCTGGGAAGTCCAAGATCAAGGTGTCAGCAGATGTATTGTTTGGTGAGTATGTGTCCCTTTTTTGTAGTGACAGGGTTTTCCCATGTTACCTAGGCCGGTCTCAAACTCCTGGGCTCAAGTGATCCATCTACCTTAGCCTCCCAAAGTGCTAGGATTCAGGTATGTTGTGAGCCACTGTGCCCAGCAGTCTCAGTTCATTTTTCTGTCTAATGTGTCAAAAGTACTTCAAAGAAAAGAATATTTAAAAAACGTAAAGGCTCTATCTCCTTCAGTTCTGCTCTGATCTTAGTTATTTCTTGCCTTCTGCTAGCTTTCGAATGTGTTTGCTCTTGCTTCTCTAGTTCTTTTAATTGCGATGTTAGAGTGTCAATTTTAGATCTTTCCTGCTTTCTCTTGTGGGCATTTAGTGCTATAAATTTCCCTCTACACACTGCTTTAAATGTGTCCCAGAGATTCTGGTATGTTGTATCTTTGTTCTCATTGGTTTCAAAGAACATCTTTATTTCTGCCTTCATTTCGTTATGTACCCAGTAGTCATTCAGGAGCAGGTTGTTCAGTTTCCATGTAGTTGAGTGGTTTTGATTGAGGATACAAAATTAATGTGCAAAAATCACAAGCATTCTTATACACCACTAACAGACAAACAGAGAGCCAAATCAGGAATGAACTTCCATTCACAATTGCTTCAAAGAGAATAAAATACCTAGGAATCCAACTTACAAGGGATGTAAAGGACCTCTTCAAGGAGAACAACAAACCACTGCTCAGTGAAATAAAAGAGGACACAAACAAATGGAAGAACATACCATGCTCATGGATAGGAAGAATCAATATCGTGAAAATGGCCATACTGCCCAAGGTTATTTATGGATTCAATGCCATCCCCATCAAGCTACCAATGAGTTTCTTCACAGAATTGGAAAAAACTGCTTTAAAGTTCATATGGAACCAAAAAAGAGCCCGCATCTCCAAGACAATCCTAAGTCAAAAGAACAAAGCTGGAGGCATCACGCTACCTGACTTCAAACTATACTACAAGGCTACAGTAACCAAAACAGCATGGTACTGGTACCAAAACAGAGATATAGACCAATGGAACAGAACAGAGTCCTCAGAAATAATACCACACATTTACAGCCATCTGATCTTTGACAAACCTGAGAGAAACAAGAAATGGGGAAAGGATTCCCTATTTAATAAATGGTGCTGGGAAAATTGGCTAGCCATAAGTAGAAAGCTGAAACTGGATCCTTTCCTTACTCCTTATACGAAAATTAATTCAAGATGGATTAGAGACTTAAATGTTAGACCTAATACCATAAAAATCCTAGAGGAAAACCTAGGTAGTACCATTCAGGACATAGGCATGGGCAAAGACTTCATGTCTAAAACACCAAAAGCAACGGCAGCAAAAGCCAAAATTGACAAATGGGATCTAATTAAACTACAGAGCTTCTGCACAGCAAAAGAAACTACCATCAGAGTGAACAGGCAACCTAGAGAATGGGAGAAAATTTTTGCAATCTACTCATCTGACAAAGGGCTAATATCCAGAACCTACAAAGAACTCAAACAAATTTACAAGAAAAAAACAACCCCATCAAAAAGTGGGCAAAGGATATGAACAGACATTTCTCAAAAGAAGACATTCTTACAGCCAACAGACACATGAAAAAATGCTCATCATCACTGGCCATCAGAGAAATGCAAATCAAAACCACAATGAGATACCATCTCACACCAGTTAGAATGGCGATCATTAAAAAGTCAGGAAACAACAGGTGCTGGAGAGGATGTGGAGAAATAGGAACACTTTTACACTGTTGGTGGGATTGTAAACTAGTTCAACCATTATGGAAAACAGTATGGCGATTCCTCAAGGATCTAGAACTAGATGTACCATATGACCCAGCCATCCCATTACTGGGTATATACCCAAAGGATTATAAATTATGCTGCTATAAAGACACATGCACACGTATGTTTATTGCAGCACTATTCACAATAGCAAAGACTTGGAATCAACCCAAATGTCCATCAGTGACAGATTGAATTAAGAAAATGTGGCACATATACACCATGGAATACTATGCAGCCATAAAAAAGGATGAGTTTGTGTCCTTTGTAGGGACATGGATGCAGCTGGAAACCATCATTCTTAGCAAACTATCACAAGAACAGAAAACCAAACACCGCATGTTCTCACTCATAGGTGGGAACTGAACAATGAGATCACTTGGACTCGGGAAGGGGAACATCACACACCGGGGCCTGTCATGGGGAGGGGGGAGGGGGGAGCGATTGCACTGGGAGTTATACCTGATGTAAATGACGAGTTGATGGGTGCTGACGAGTTGATGGGTGCTGACGAGTTGATGGGTGCAGCACACCAACGTGGCACAAGTATACATATGTAACAAACCTGCACGTTATGCACATGTACCCTAGAACTTAAAGTATAATAATAATAAATAAATTTAAAAAAAAAAACATAAAGGCTGAGGGGAAAAGTTACACTATGTTTTCTCACCTATCAAAAGAGAAAAACAAGCTCCCTCAGTCCTCTTTTGCAAGAACACTAATCCCATTCATGAAGTTTCTGCCCTCATGTCCTAGTACCCTCCCAAAGACCCCTCACCTCTTGATACCAACATTGGAGATTAGATTTCGACATGAATTTTGGAGGGACACAAATATTCAGACCATAGAAAGTAGTAACAAGAGATGAAATACTTAAGTAGAAATGTGTAGGACTCAAATGAAGAAAATTAACTTTATGGAGGGATGAAAAATAAATTGAGTAAATAAAAAGACTTTGTTTATAGAAAGATCATGTTTATGTGTGAAAATATTCAACAGTATAAAAAGCTATGATTCTAGATTTGTAATGCAGCATCAACTATTATCTTGAGGATTTTCTGGTATTTTTGTTTGTTTTTGTTTCCTTTCTTTTTTATGCCAATTAAAAACACTTGATAATTCTTTGTGGAAGAAATAATTGGACATACATTTATGTGAACTGCTATACAAGATACTGGGAATAAAATAATAAATAGAAAATATACAGTCCCAGCTCGTGGAGTTTTCATTTATGGTGTGAGAGACAAAATTTAAAAGTACACCAAAAACTTACAGAATGTA